AAGAACAGATTTCAGGCATCTGCATTTTTTCCTCTTAAAAAAGTTGCCAAAATTTGACATTTGCTATCAATGTCTAATGTGGAAAAGCTTATGCTTTTATGATCACTCTGTTAGATTACTGTAATGCATTTGTACGCGGTTGCCCTATTGGCCTAATTAACAAACTTCAGCTGGTTCAAAATGCAGCTGCTAAAGTGCTTTCTAGAACAGAGAAGTATGATCATATTCAGTGGTGTAGTCATATTTATATAGGTGGAGTTATATTTACATATCTATACATATTTTTATATATATATATATATATATATATATATATATATATATATATATATATATATATATATATATATATATATATATATATATATATATATGTATATGTATATATATACACAACAAATGTGCAGAAATAAAGCAACCAAGTCACTGAACATTCAAAAAAAACAAACAAAAAAAAAAAACATCCAAAATCAAAATACCAGTGAAATAATAAAAAAAGTGGAGAGCAACAAGCCATGTAAGGTGGTTCAACCACCAGAAATAAAACATTTAAAACATTTCAGCCTCATTTTTGTTATTGGACTAATAGCGATAGCATTAAAAATAACATTTAACGTCCAATATTGATATGGACAATAATATATAGTGCTTTGCTAATTTATATAGCACTTTACAGTGTTGCCATACACCTTAAGCACTTTACAATCATATTCGGGGGATGAAGCAAAGACATTTCTAGTACATTTACAACAAAGCAGCTGTACAATTTAATGGATGGAGGTTTTTGAGTTAAATGTAAAGTTAATTCATTTTCTTTTCGGCTTAGTCCCTTTATTAATCTGGGGTCGCCACAGCGCCAACTTATGCAGCACATGTTTTACACAGCGGATGCCCTTCCAGCTGCAACCCATCACTTGGAAACATCCAAACACACTCATTTACACACATACACTATGGAAAACAAGCAAACTCCACACAAATGCCAACTGACCCAGCTGAGGCTCGAACCAGCAACCTTCTTGCTGTGAGGTGAACGTGCTACCCACTGCGCCACCGTGCAGCCCTAAATGTAAAATATCATATATATATATATATATATATATATATAGCATTTATGGTTTTAGTTTTCGGCCAAGTGCTTTCAAAATTTTCGCTTTTGGACCAGAATCCTAACTCTTAAGTTGAATTAAGACTAAAGCTGTAAATAGGAAAAAGATCAAACTTCTTTTTTGAATTTTTGGAGCGAGATGCTAACAATCTAATCCGATTCAATGATCTATGCTAAGCTAAGGGCGCACTCAAACTATGCTATCCGAACCATGCTCAGGCCTGTTTCTCGGAACGTTTGAGAAGTGTGAGCGCTCTGAATCAGGCTCAAGCACGGTTTATGTGGCTGGCCCAGGTAGAAGAGGTTTGCTAGAGCATGGTTCACTTGGGCTTTGGCGCGGTACGCTTGTAGTGAGCGTGCAAAATGCGCCTGAGCCCGAAATTTAAGACGAGATGTGACTTTTGAGGGACTGTTTCATTACTGTAATCATTTTTAGTGTTTAATGAACACAAACTGTCGTAGATTATTGAGGATGCAAACCCCACACTGCACGACAGCTGCACCTTCAGCCGACCTCCTAATTCCTGCAGCATAAGGACTTTATGATTGTTTATGAGCGTCAAAAGTAGGACCCTCAGCTAAAAGTGGTCTCGCCAGACCTGGAGATCGGCTTGATGGATACAAAAATGGTCAAATTCATCTATTTAACTCTAGATAAGTTAAAAGATAAGCTTATTTAAAAAAAAAAAAAATTAAATAAGCTTTAAGTGCTGTCTGTAAAACTGGGGCAAAGAGTTCAAGTTGATGGACGGATGGTGAGAGCGTCTTAATCCCTGATTGGTCCTTCATTTGTGTCCGCCGTCATCCCAGAAAAGTGGAAATAAAGACACTGGTGTCCAGATTTAAAGTTGCATGCCACCAGCGGTCAGGAAAATACAGCACCTGCACAAAAACACTGTTAATTCTCTGGAAAGAAATTTAGTGTAATGATAGATTATATAGCAAAAACAGTCTTAAAAGATTATTTAAGGATCAAAGTCTATCCCAAAATACCTATAATATAATAATCATAAAATAATATTACCTATATATTATACCTAATAATTGTTATTTAAAATCCTTATACTTTACCACTATTCTGATGTCTGACGGGTTTAATCATTACAGTACATACAGTGTGTGTGTGTGTGTGTGT